CCAGCCAGCACAGCTGGCTGGGGAATCCTGGGAGTCGAAGCCCACACACCTTAAAGTTGCCGAGGTTGAGAAACCCTGCACTAGAAGGAACCAGAGCCGTTCTGCAAAATAAACCAGAGCTGTGACCGGGTGGTTTTAGCACTGCCAACGCCCACATCTCCTGCTGCAGCATGGCAAGTCATAGGTGGCAGAAGGAGACCGTGCACTTGGCAGACATCCGTCTTTCTGATCGAATACATTGACCCTCTTGCGCAATTCGGTCAGTTCCGAGGCGATTGATGTGTGTGGATCTTGAGGCTTCCCCAGCCAGGCATTCTGCCTTGTTTTTGAACTGGGGGTGCTATTCCCAAAACGTGGGATCCCCTGTAGGTAAAACGTCAGCCTTGCAACGAGTTTAGCTTTGGAAGCCACTGGGCTGAATTTGGATGCACAGCAGTTCTTCGGGTACAAGGGGGATACAGATACTGGTGCTGTGTCGCTTATTCACCAATACATTTTGTGTTTACCAACAATAGGTAGTGCAGTGTGTCTCTCCCAAGGGACCTCTGGCTTGCTCTAGGACGTATTTCTTTGGAGCCACCCACACACCTTACCTTGGTAAGTCCAGCAGGTGAACAAGGATTCTGTGCCTGCTGATTCCTGGGGCTTGCCATAGATGGCAGTGCGTAAAAACGCCCACCCGCCCCCGTAACCAGCAGGCCAAATGCAAACCAAGAAAGATGGTGGTGGTGTGGTACTTGGATCCCTCCCACCTCCAGGCCGTGAACTTGTCAAACGGCAGGGCCCTTTTGTCAGCCAAAGTGATTTCGGCGCCAGACGGTTCTGCTTGGATTGATTTCAGTAGAGAGCGCAGGAGGGTAAAAACCGGCTTTTATTTGGGCCGGTGTCGAGTCTCATTTGAGGGGGGCATTTAAATGTGACTGACTCAGCCAAGCCAGATCTCTCTGTTCCTTGGTGGAGTCATCACTTGGGCAGTAACCTGCTGAGCGAAAGACACAGCCCCCACGTCTTTTTCCACCGTGTCTTATAATTTGCTCAGTGAGAGTCCATGAGAGAGACCCTTGCTTTGCCTCCCAGTGCTCTGACCCCCCCGGGAAAGTGTAAATGATTCTTGGATTCTCCGTGGCCACTGAGGTTTGGATCAAGTGAGAAACAGTGACAGTCTGGTTCTCTTTAGAAGCAAGTGACAGAGACACTAAAGTTTTCCACAAGCTTTTTCTGCCCATGATGAGGGACTAAGTGAAAGGATGAATTAATGGACAAGGGGAGTCCAGTTAGGCATTAAAACCAAGACTGGATGCGCTCATCAAGCTAAACCATGGTTTGCTTGGTCATTGTTTATCAAAAGAACCACAATGGGTTGGATTCACATATTACGCTAAGCCATAAGCCATGGTTTATAGCCTCCAGTGAGTGGGTTCACAGAACATGTGGTTTGCTAGTTTTTCAATTTAACATCATGGGGTAGTTGTGTGAATAGGCCAACATAAGTAGATTTTTGGTCCAGTCTCAATTTGGCCTCCTTTCCTGTGTTACTTTCAGATAAATAAGTAAAAGATTCCCGATTAATCTGGCCATGTACACAGTGTCAAAAAAGAGGATGCCTATTTGCATAAAAATTGCACGTGCTGATTATACGCGTAGCTGCAAATGTAGCCATGAATACTGAAATCAGGGGTGTCGAGAGGGTGATTGTGATCATACAGTATAATCAAAGCATGTGTGAAGCATGTAAAAAGGGGGCAGGGCTTCAGTTGTGTGGTTGCAGCTGCCCTATTGACTTTTTTGATGCCTCTAAAAGCAGATAATAAAGCTCTATCCAAAGCTCAGCTTTCTATAATAAGTTTGAGATGCTAAAAGTGCATAGGAAAAAGCCCCAGAACAGGGTAGATGCATGAGAGGGGGGGAAAAAAGTCTTGCACTTAATTGCCCAAGAATTGAAAGTTCTTATAAAGTACGTAAAAGGCAACCCTGAATTTTCCAATTAAGTCAAAGTAGTTGAGACTCAGCAAAAGGGATGGTAGTTAGATCAGGGAGGAGCCTAGCCCTGGTTTCTTCCGAAGACAGTGTCACCTGAACAAACGCTTCTCACCTCCCTGCCAGTTTACGGGTGATACAAACTTCTGGAGAGGCTTATTTTAAACCATTATTAGAGGCGTGGAGAGAACGGCAAGTAGGTGGGCACAAAGTTCCATGCACCAGAATTCCCTGGCGTTCTCTTTTTCTCCTGGAATGTGTGAGATTAGATGTTCCAGGAGAACATCCTGGAATCCCTGGAGCTCTTCTTTTTGCAGTGAGACGTCCGTGCCAGTCATGGCCCCTTCTCTCTTCTACCCGAAGCTGTCGTTGTCCTTTGCCTGCATTTCTCCCATCTGTCCCTCTGTTCTGCTTCCTGCCTGGATTTCTCCAGCCAAACCCACAGCTGCGTATAGGGGTGGTCCTTCCGCGCACACATCCCTTGCTGTGGGTGCCTGGCCGTCATGGCCGTTGCTCTCATTGGTCAGATTCATGCAGCCAGAGGATAGCTGACTTGAGGAAGGGGTTTGGAGCATTTGCACTTTTGATGCTCAGAGTGGTCCTCCCCAGCTCTCTGCTGTGTGTAGTCCTGCAAGTGGAAAGAAAACTGTAGGGTTGAAAATAATCCAGAATAACAATTGAGAGGTAGATGACATGTATGATCTGTTTTACCGTGGCAGAACAGAGAAATAACAGTGTTTCTCTATTTGTGCAACAGGGAACGATGATGAGTTGGAAAAGAAACCCGAAGAAGTGTAAGTTTTTAAAAATATCTTTTTATGCTTCTGTGGTCCATTCCAAACAGCTCTTGGCCAAGCAGGACAACCCAGAGTATATGCCAGTTTTGGTTGTACACTGTACACAATTGCAACTTGAATGCTTTTTTTGCTTCCCACTCCAGCGACTTTGATTTACATCTAAAATCAGGGTACTTCTAATAAGCTTGCTGATTTGTGTCAGCTTCTTCACTTTTTTTAAACGAATGGCAACTAGGTACCAAGATTTACCTTGTTTCAGGGTCCTTTTTTTAAAAATATAATTTCTATTGAATTTTTTAACAAGATAAAAACAAGACAAATATTAGAAAAGAAACAAAGAAAATAAGAAAGAATAGTGAATAAGAAAGAAAGAATAGAGAAAGAAAAGAAAGAGGGAGGGAGGAAGGAAAGAGAGAGGAAGGAAGGAAGAGGGGAGGGGAGGAGAAGAGAAGAGAAGAAGAGAAGAGGCTTCTTATCTTTTTGACAGTGGTTATAAAAGCATTTATGTTTTACCCTCTCTCTCTAAGGTTACACCATAATTTCCTTCTTTCCACAAGTTACCCTTTTTAATCCTCAAACCAATAAATCACAAGTTCATTTTTTTTCTTTCTGAAGGATTTTTTATTAAAAAAACAGTGACTGTGTGACTCTGTTCTGTACAGGAATTTTGGATTGTGCGAAGTTAAAAATCTTAATCTTCATAATTAACATTGCATTGCTTTTCTTTTCTTTTTAGCAAACTGTTATCTCAGATCTATTCTGCTGTGGTAGAGGCTGTCTTGGCTGGTATAGACACCTTCTCAAAAATGTCCAATATTACGAAGGTATACATTTACTTTTCCAGAATGGAAAGTTTGCTATTTGCATTCCATACTGTCAGATCAACCTACCCTGCAACCAGCAAAACGTTCTAATGCTTGCAGTTCAGCTATATATTGTTTATACGCATTGTTTACACACACACACAGAGACATGCAAACACACACATGCACACCACCTATATATACCTTGAAATTGGGAGTATCAGAACAGGCAAGTTGGCACTGATGTCAGAATGATGCATCCCTATTCCATTTGTGTGTATGCCAGAATCCCACGTACATAGAAAGGTACGGGGCTTCGATCACCGCTACATGCATACACGTGCACGCAGACACCTCAAGTCAAACTTCTTGTCGCATCTCCATACAGGCGGTTTCTTGGCAGGGTCACACCTGGTGAATTCTAAGATCCCAACTGCATGGGTGTGAGCATCAGGTCAACAGGAGATAAGCTTGATTCAAAGGCTTATTGGGCACCCCCCTCCACCCCCCCAGTCTGGTGTGCTTGCATGTACATAATTATAATTTATTTCTGGAGCAAATTGAAGCCAAGAGTTCTGGATCCTCCTCCTTCAGCCTTTCACCTCTCTGCTAACTATTGTCACGTGTGGCCTATTCTCGCTCAGGCATGGAGTGTATAACTCAGTGTTTCTCAATCTCGGCAACTTGAAGACGTGTGGACTTCAACTCCCAGAATTCCCCAGCC